TATTTATTAATAAATTTAATTTTTAAAGTTACACCAGAAACTATACATTAATAGGGGTTTATCAAAAGATAAAAGTTTTAAATTCCATTTTCTTATTAAGAAAAAAAATTATTTCATTAACCGTATAAGAGGTCTCTTGACCCATTTACAAATCAAGAGACACCACAGTCAACAATTTTATAAGCATCACAATCTCAATTTAAACAATATCTCAATCCTCTCCTTTCCCAGCAAAGCCTTCTGCGGATTTTTCTTACAGACATCTAACTCTAGTTCAGGCTCATGTTTTGATTTCAGTCAGTAAAATGACCCGTACTTAATAAGGGGTCTTCAATTCAAATTTTGAAACTTATGAAAATGGATTTAAAAAAAGTAAGGATTCTATCTTGTTGATCCCTCTGTTGTAGTTTTTTTTAGTCCAAACTAACATTTTTCTGTTGTTAGTTTAAAGGAAAATTATTACTACACCATCTTATTTAACATATCTTATAATATTAATCAATTCAGTTATTAAAATTTATAATTTATAATTTTTTTATTTTTAATTTTAATTTAAAAATAATAATTTTTTTATGAATGTGTTGTATAATATCTTAAATCAAATCATCTATCAATCATTCTCCCGGTTTAAATTGAAAAAGACTGATTTGAATTGAAAAAAAACATTTAAAAAATTTTTTATCAACCAAAATTTTTTTTATTGATTTAGAGAACAATGAGTATTCCTATCTATACTTTATATATCTAACTTACATTAAAGTCAGAAACCTTCTAAGAATTTACTGATCTTGCACACATAATATTACATTCTAATCATAAAGATGAAATTCACAACCTTTTAACTTAGAATACTGATAAAATAGTTGAATTTTATGAGATTAAAATTTGAAGCCAATAACATAATATAAGTTATGTTATTTAAAATATTAAAAAATAAATTTTATTTTATTTAATAATTAACTCTTTTTACTTTATTAAAGTTTATAGTATTATATATATCAACACATTTAGTAATTTAACTTATATCACATCATTAATATCAAATTTTGGTTTTCAATTTTCAGCCCCTATGTTACTACTCTCATACCTATCCTTCAACCATAGAAATGATTTATAGACTAAATGATTTCCACCAATCTATTTTCTGAAAGCTCAACTGCATCAAAAACCATCTATTTCTATTGGCCCATAAGTTTCATGTAATGGATACAAACGAAAAGGCCAGACAGGTCATAGTTTGTCGTTTTGGCACATTTGAATAGAATAATGATTAATATACACTCTGATTCACCACACTGCATGACATATTTATTAAAAAATTATTATTTTTTAGTTTAAAATTAAAGATAAACAAGTTTAATAATATAATTATGCACGTAGGATGCAAGATCTGGTTGAATTGATTGTATTTATATTATATTTTCAATTATTAAATAAAAAATGTGTCAAAAAATATGTTGAACTGAGAGTTTACCAATTATTTTCCATTTGAATAAGTTGTCTAAATGCCCCACAGATTGAGTCAGCTAACGCACGTTGAATCCACCATCATTCACATACCTTCTTCCAAACCTGGTGCGCCAAGGGACATTTTTCCAAATTGACCTTTGAAATATAGTCATTGATAAGGTCAAAACTGCTTGAAAAAAAGGTACATATTCCCTCTCATCAGATTTAATTATTTAATTTAATTTTTACATAGAATTTAAACCTGATGATTTTATATGTAAATGAATGATAATTAAAAAGTTTTTTAAATCTAAGTAAAAATACTCAACAAGTGTTACATATAAAAAGAAAAAGAATTCTATTATTATCTATTTATTATATAAAATTATCTAGTTAAAATTTATGTAAAAACTAAATTGAGACAACTAAATCCAATAAGAAAGAGTACTAAAATATTTTTAACTTCTTTCAATATAAAAATTGGGAAGATGAATTTGTATAAAAATATTATAAAAATTTTAAAAATTTAAAAAAAATTATCAAATTCAGATGATTAACAATGACCAAAAAAAAAAAAAAATCTATTATAGAAGCAATAACTCTAAGATTTAAGCTCAATTTAGTATAATGGTGATTTCTAATTTTTAGTTTTGATTTTTATAAATTTTAAAGAGCAAAAAAATTAATAATGTGTTTAAAACAAGTTTCAACACCAACAACTAAAATTAAAAATTTGTTTAATAATATTAAAACTATTGTTGTTTCAATTTTTTTAATAATCATAATAATATTTTGACAAATAAATATGAATCTAAAGGAGGAGTATTTTATTTAAATTTATAAAATTTATAAAAATTTATAAAAATTAAAACTAAAAATTAAAAAGCATAATTATACTAAAAGTTGCCTTATTGTCTATAGAATTAGAAATTGTACAAAACTTTCAAAAAATCTAAAGGCTCATAAAAAACTTTATTTGACCCAGCATTTAAATAATAATAATAACAAAACAATATTATCATTTCAAAAGACGGGTAGACAAATTACAATTTAGGGAGAACTTAATAAAACAAATAATAATGAAAAAGACTTATAGAATAAATATCTAAATTATTAGTAGAAAGGTACTTTCACATCCCATCCATATGATGATGGTTCCAACCATCCTCCCTCCTCTCTATTTTTCTCTTGCATGAGATTTCAACCCATTAGTCTATTGCTGTTATAAAATAAAATAAAATAAAATAAAAAACCAATTGGTCTATCTCGTAATATATATAATAATAAAGTAATGAGAAAAACGGAAGACAAATGGCAGCTAAGACATCTAGCTCACAATAATGAAGTACTAATAGTAAGGCTAGCAAGAGATCCAATTCCTTGTTAATTGAATGTCCGATTCACCATGATATCTGCCAGTAAACAAAATTTAGAATGGTTGTTGGCCGTTGATCCTTCCCTATGTGAAGTAATGTTAATAATTAACCAGCCCTCCAAAAACGTATTATGTTATATCAGTTGTAGTCTCCCTCTCCTTATTACACACTAGCTCTCTTGGGACACATCCTTTTTGTGGCTCCATTGTTTCCACTAGTTCATCAATCTCAGTGCCTCAATCTATGATGTTAGCTAAGTATACTTTAAGCTGCCTGTGTTTGAATTTTCTGCTGCTTCTCTCTTTTTCTTCCAGACATGGGGTCTTAGCTGGCTCCGTGGTCAATTATTTACCAGGCTTTTCTGGAGTATTACCGTTCAAACTCGAAACCGGGTAAGTGGTCATGAATATCAGTAGAACTAAGGTGTTGCTGCTGAAATTGTAATGTCGGATTGATTCAGGTACATTAGCGTGAACGAGTCGGAGCTGTTCTACCTGTTTGTTCCATCGCAGGGAAGGCCTAAGGTGGATCCCCTCTTGATTTACTTGGTTGGAGGCCCTGGTTGCTCTGCCTTGAATGCATTTCTTTTCCAAACTGGTATGTTTGTATTCACCACAATGGCATTTTTAACATTCTGTTTAATCTTTCTATGCATTTTCAGTAGTAATTATAAAGTGCCAATAAAATTTGCACTCAAAAAATAGCTTGTATTTTCAAATGCTATTGCTATTTGTATATTTATCTTGTTCATCGAAAGTCAGCGCTTAGCTATCACCATGTTGGAAGTTTGATTTTGAACCCACAATCGCAATTTCTTAGGAAACATTAACTCAATTAAATTCTTATTAGTTTACTTGGCATTTATGTTACAAATAATTGTAGCATGAGGTAAAGAGCCAGACATTTTTTACTCAGTCTTGAGAATGAAAGATGAAATAGTAGCACAGTAGTACCTAATAAATTGGGAGAGAGATTTACCGTTCAAGGGTATGTAGTTTGGTGTACCAAACAATACTCCATAAGCTCTTCTTCTGCAAGACCTACTGTTAGTTGTAACATTTATATTATGCATAAAACAAAGATTTTGTTATCCTTTTTCATTTACATAAATGATTAAAGATCGGAATTTAAATCTAAGACCTTTCATGACCTTTTAACTATTTGATCAATGCATTAGTGAGGAGTAGCATGGTTTTGCGAATATGATGAAATTAAAGGAAAAACTTTTAATTACAATATGCTTTTTACTTTCTTTGGGATCTGTAGGTCCAGTACAGTTCAATACAACAGATTACACTGGGAGCATCCCTAGTTTATCATTGTATCCATACACATGGACAAAGGTAGGACTCTCATTTTACCTTGACCTAAACTTTGATCCATATTGAATATTGATCTTGTTGTGGTGGTGGCGGCGGTGATGATGCAGTCTGCCAGCATTATATTTGTAGATTCGCCTGTCGGCGCAGGATTTTCCTACTCAACAAATCCCGAAGATTACTACATTTCAGATACAGAAACAGTCACTCAACTTCATTTGTTCCTCAGAGAAGTACTGAATACATCCAAAGCTTTTTTATTTCTTTTCTTTCGTTGAAAATTGGACATACTGAACACATATTCAATAGAACAAACAATTTTCTGATAGATCTTTCCATGATTTCCAATGCAGTGGTTGCAAGAATATCCTCAATTCATCAATAACCAGTTCTATGTTGTTACTGATTCATATGCTGGTATATATGCTCCGATCTTGGCACTAGACATAATTGAAGGTAAATTTCATGCATTTTCCACACCCTGTTTTTTTTCTTCCAAGAAATCTAGTGCTATCATATGGTTCTTCCTTGGCATGCAGGAAATGAAGCCGGAATGCAGCCATTTATAAACTTGAGAGTAAGGACCAAAAATCCAACATCAACAGTTCTCAATGGTTTTTATATTTTTCATTCTCTGTTATTAAATTAAATGCTGTTCATGGAAATTAAATTAGGGAATCATAAGTGGCTCTCCACATACATTTACGAACCTCGAAGATAATACAAAAATAGCCTTTTATCATCAGATGGCACTTATATCAGACAGTCTTTACCAGGTAACACCAGTAGAGACCCTAGACCTCTCCAAACTCATTGGTTTTGACAAGCATGATTAATCCTTTCTCCTTTACAGGCAGCAAAAGAAGACTGTGGCGGGAATTATATATTCGTACTACAGAACAACACTGCTTGTCTAGAGGATCTCGATGCAATAGATGAGGTTTGAATTCAAAGGATTTATGTTTTGCAATTCAGATCTTTTCTTGTTTCTCGAGGGAAAGCTGATGAGAAAGTTAATTACATTCACAATCCATAGTGTGTGGAGGATATCAACGAGATGATGGTGTTAGCACCCAAATGCAATACTGTTTCACCAGAACCAAAGGATGCACAACTTCGGAGATCTCTCAGAGAAAACAGAAGAAAAAGAAAAGGAGGAAACTTCCCCCTTCCATATTCAAAAGAAAACGACTATTATTGCGAGGTCTCTGTGTTTTCATTTGCATTGAGTGCGCTTGTGCATTATTTTGCCTATAACATTCGATAATAATATCTTGAATATGATGTGCAGGACTTCCGTTATGTACTCTCTTACATTTGGGCAAATAACGAGACTGTTCGTGAAGCTCTTCATGTTCGAAAGGTACATAAAGTTTCAGGGGAGCTCTGTTCTACATACAGGGTTTCTGAATTCTAGCTGAATCATTGCTTCTAATTGTGTGTGCAGGGAACTGTAAAAGAATGGCATAGATGCAACCTCACTCTCATTGATGTAACATATGACTATAATGTCTACAGCGTCGTAGATTACCACAAAAACCTCACTGAAAGAAGCATACAAGTTCTTCTTTACACGTAATGTTTTACATACTAATTGCAAAACCTTAATTATCAGGTTCAAATATCTGTAATAGCTATATACTAACTTCTTTGATAATCTTGCAGCGCCGATCATGATGTTGTTGTTCCACATATATCTACTGAGGCATGGATGAGCGGCCTTGGCCTCACATTAGAAACTGATTGGCGGCCGTGGTATGTTCAAGGTCAAATTGCGGGGTGAGTTCTCTTGATTTGTTAATATAAGAGTTAGGATCTATTTATACATGTATAAATTTTAAAACTATCATTGTGATTCTAAAATTGATAAATTTTTTTTCCCTTTTCTCCATTTTTTACTATGTAGGTACACGCTGAAGTACACAAATTATGGATACGGCTTGACTTATGCGACTCTGAAGGCAGAAAACCTTCAACTAATTTGCTCATTTTATTTATATTTATTTATGTCTCCAAAAATGAAGAAGAATTAGCGTAACTAAATAATTAAATTTATTCTTGAAATTTTTGCAGGGATCTGGGCACTCTCCAACGGAGTGGAAGGGAGAATATTGCTTCAATATGTTTGAAAGGTGGATCAATCGTTACCCTTTGTAGGCGACAAGCGCTTAAGCATGTGTTAATTTTAACAGATTTGGTATGAGAAAATAGTCGTGTTGTATTCTTAAGGTAAGAATAAAAAAAGGATTGCTGTGATTTTTAACTGGAGTTTCATACTCCTTTCCGTTGAATAAATTTTGTCTTGCGCTTCAGATTTATGAGTTTCAAACACAAAACTGGACAAAAAAATTCAGTGTTGAGATGCCAATAACCGTTGTCACAAGGGATACAACTCCTTTCTGAAAGGTGGTGACACTAAGAAGCTCAAAATTCAAATTCTGGCAATCTCATTTCCCATCCACAAGCTGTACTAGTTCCCAAAAGAAAAAAAAAGAAAAAAAGAAAAATCAAGTGTTGAGATACAGGGGAGGCATAGTGGCCTTTGGGATAGTTGGAAAGTAAGAGTGACTTTTAATTGGGGAAGTACATACGCAAGTGGGTTGAGCTGTAATGGGGATGTTAGGAAGTGAAGTAAGCATGCCGGGTTTGGGAAAGATGGAACTTACCGTTTATGTTTGGTAAAGGGGAAATTGAGGATCCTCTTCCCTCATCTAAATATGTTAAAATGGATTAAGAAAAGGAAATAGAACAGAAAAATGAAACAAAAGTAGTGTCCCTCCTCTCCACTCAATTTTTTTTAGTTAACAAATAACAAATAGAAGAATTTTCTTCTCTATTCTCCTCTCCTCTCCTTCATTTCTCTCAATCCAACCGTATGCTTAAGATTGAGTCGGGGATGGACAAAGATGCGAGACATTGATGCATGAGTGCACGAATCAAGGTCATTGATGCAAGAGAATGACAAAGCCATGAAAAAAAAAGTAAGAAAAGGCAATTGAAAAAGCTCTATCGATTCCTTTTTCATTGAAAAAGCTAAGTGGTTTCACCTTTTTAGTTCTCTTTTAGAACAAACTCAAAAGAATTTTTCAAAGATTACATTCGGCACTTTCACAATAGAGAATATCTTTTCGAAAATTAAGTTAAATAAGATACTTGATCTTGGCTAAAATTTCCTTTTATCTATTGAGAAAAGTTGTTTTATTATTAAGAGAAAACTCTCTCTTATCTCTTACCTTACCTCATTTGCATGTTTTACAACTTAAACTTAAAATCTTTTACTTTTATTAAAAGAAAATTACTATTAAATTATTTAAGCAATTGACATTATAGGAATTTAAACCTTTATTTTAACCCAAATTAAGGTTACTACACAAAGGCAAGTTGTGTTGGGTGTTGTTTATGTGCAATGCCTTTGTAGTTGTAACTTGTAAGCTCACAATGTTTAAGATGTATGAATGAACATAAGTAAGAGTACCTTTTGTACTCTAAATTAATATATTTTGATTCATAAAAAAATCTCAAATTTATATTTTTAAGTTAGTAAATACTAACTCAATTATGTTTTTATCAATGAAGACTTTATTAGCACATCACTTAGTTGTTGTTTTTTTTTTTTTTTTTTTTTTGGTTTTTCCTAAACTAATTTGTGTGCTTCTTGAGACTAATTCCTATCTAGTTAAATCAAAAAAAGGTTATTTATGCTCAAGGTAAAAAATTTATAAAAAAAATTATCTCTTTATTGAGCTAGTAAGAATTAACAAGAAAAGGAGCCAGCCCTCTTACTAGTGGCAAACACCCATGGATTGCCCTCTAAGTTACGATATTTGGGGACTTTTGCCTCTCACCTTTATAATATAAAGATTTTTAACGTTGAACTAATGGACTTGACGAAATGAGGCTAAAGTTAACAACTTCCGTTAATGCTCAATCGATACTTCCCACGTTAGCGTCACGTAGGCGTGAACTTGGCCACATGAAACCTCACATATGGCATGTGGCCCCACCCAATTATAAAACATTTTAAAAATTTTTTGAAAAAAACTTACAAAATTACAATAAT